AGAGGCAGATGCAGGGACAAATACAGCAAGCGATTGATTATTTGGAAGTGTATGAAGAGGCTTACAGAGAGAGGGTACACAGTGACTTCTGCAGTTAGAAGGATCCATGAGGTGTATGGGTATCTACCTGTCAGTAAGCTGATTGAAAAGATGAGGAAGGATGAAAGGAATGGGGGACATGCTAGACTGAGGAGCTAGTAATCGATTCGTTGCTACTGCAGCAACAAACAAGGGAGCAATCGAGGAGGAATCGATTCGGAGGAATCGATTCGGAGGAATCGATTCGGAGGAATCGATTCGGAGGAATCGATTCGGAGGAATCGATTCGGAAGAATCGATTCGGAGCAATCGGTTTGGAGCAATCGGTTTGTATGGGAGGAGCAATTGGTTTGTATGGAAGCAAGGGAGCAATTGATTGCTGCAGCAATGATCGTAGCAATCGATTCGTATGGAAGCAAGAAGGAGCAAAGCAATCGATTCCTCGTTGCATCAAGCAATCGATTCCTCGTTGCATCGATTCGTAGCAATGATCGATTCGTTGCATGGAACGAGCAATCGATTCGTTGCAAGGAGGAGGAGGAACAAGCAATCGATTTGTTGCTGCGATTCCTCGTATGAAGCAAGCAACAACAAGCAAGGAACAAGCAATCGATTCGTTGCTGTGTTATTGATTCGTTGCTGTGTTATTTCGTGTTTTCGTGGTGTTCGTTACGTGTTATTCCGTGTTATTCGTGGAGTTACGTGTTATTGCTATCCTGGATAAAAGAGCAATGTTAGATAGCTGTTAAGAAATAGTAAGGAGCAGTATTCCTATTAACACAGTTAGCAACACCCCCAGTACCAGTAGTATTGGGCCTGAAGTGCTTGTAGGAATCAGTAGTAAGGAGTTCGTGTGGATGTGTTTATTTCCAGTAGTAAGCAGTACTCTTAGTACTGTCGACTTCCAGGTTTTTTATTGTACCTTCATTCCCCAGTAGTTAGCACTCTTACGAGTACTTCAAAGTACTTGGTTAATTAAGGAGTGTACTCGTGTACCTCAATTTTCACTAAGTTTTTTGGTATTTCCCCTCCAGTAGTAAGCCTCCCTCTTAGAAATACTTGTGTTTTAGCGAGTTGGCGATTATTTGTGTGTGTGTAGGATTGTACGGACTTTGTACTGTGTATTTATTATTGTATATTTTGTTACATGTACCCACACGATACACGTACAACGAGTACTGGCCCACCGTAATGCAAATAAATTCACTGATTCTCTCCCCTCTTTCGACTTATTCGATCGGCGTGATATCGTTTCGGTGCATTTCTTTTTCGTTCGATGTAAGTTATGGAAAATAAAGTGCGATCAACGACATAATGCCATTCGAGCTCGTACTCCTCATACTCTCAACAAGATTCGTACCGGTAGCAAAAAGTTAAGTTGACGACTGGTCAACCACAATACTTGCGAATAACAAACTGAACCTGAACATTTGGATCATTGCGAAACTTGACAAAAGCAACAGGTCATAAAGAAGTCAATAAATCACAATTACTACAATGGGAGATTCTGCTTATAGCTTTTCACTGACAACTTTTTCTCGAACTGGAAAATTGCTTCAGATCGAATATGCCCTGAATGCGGTTGCAAATGGTCGCACCTCACTCGGAATCTGCGCCAAAGACGGCGTTGTGATCGCCACTGACAAGAAGTTGACTTCGGAACTCGTAGATATCTCGGATGTACACAAGGTCGAACTTTTGACTCCGTCATGCGGAGTTTGTTATGCAGGTGTAGGGCCGGATTTTCGTGTGTTAGGTGAGCTTTGTCGAAGTGATCGTGGTTCTATGACAAAACCCATACATTCATCTGTTTCATGTTCATGTTTTCTGGGGCGTTTGGTGTAGACGACTACAAAACTTGCATTTTACTCATGTCCGAATTTTCATTTTGAATTCTCCCCTAACCTTCTTTTGTTGCCTGCAGTCCACCAAGCTCGGAAATCTTCTCAAGTATACCTGCGGCAGTATGGTGAGGTTCAACCTGTGTCGCAGCTTGTCAAACGTTCAGCTGGTGTCATGCAAGAATACACACAACGTGGAGGAGTTAGACCGTTTGGAATTTCTCTTTTAATTGGAGGCATCGATGGGGATGGGACACCTAGGCTGTATCAAGTTGATCCGTCAGGCACTTATTTTTCTTGGAAGGCTACAGCGATTGGTAAGAATCATGTCAATGCAAAGAACTTTCTTGAGAAACGATACACGGAGGACATGGAATTGGAGGATGCCATTCACACTGCTCTATTGACGCTACGAGAGGGATTTGAGGGTGAAATGAATTCGGAAAACATCGAAGTTGGCGTAGTTCGAAATGGAAAGTTCAGTGTCTTGACTCCGGAGCAAATCCAAGATTACTTAGACGAAGCGAACTAAGAATAACACACATAGATACACGCACGAACTCTAAATTCTTTACTATAAATATCTAAATCATCTCGACGCAGTACAAACTTATGGTGAAAGCCGAATCAATCATTCGTTATCAGAAAGTCACGGCTTTCCCTCCACGGTTTCTCGTCTGCCAGGGAGAAGTTGACTCTTGATCGGGTGATGAAACCCCATCTCTGATGTATTACAGTTCTTTTATTGTCTAGCCGGCAATTTGCACGCTGTTCCGATGGCAGATGGTAGATCTTCTTCTAGCAATGGATCGAAATTTGAAAACCGAACTTGTTGCGCCAAGAACTCTAGTGGTCGTTCTCCACTCACATTGACAATCCGACCGGTCTTGTCTTTGAAGGTTGGATAACCGTCGATACCTTGGCACATTTTTTGGCCCTTGAAACCATATCCCTTCGGAGAACATTCCACATAATTCATAACCGACCAGGCTTCGGCCCCAAAGAGCTCCTTCTGTCGCGAACAATGAGGGCACCAGTAGGCTCCATACATCGTAATGCCCTTTTCCTTCAACGAGTTTGCAAGCTCTATTGCTTGGGGACTGGACTTCCGTGAGACACGTTTAGGCACATACATCACATCCCCATCTTTCGTGTTTATCGGGAAGTATCCTAGCTCCTCAGCAATAACGGATATTGGTGGTGCTGCATTTACTGGCATGGAGGATACTGTACCCGCTATCAAACCAGTGCCTAAAATGCTTCCGTTCAACCAGGTTTCTCTTAAGATTTGTCGGCGAGACGAAAGATTTCTGTTCTTTGATGGGTCAAGAAGAGACAATCCCTCGACCGAAATCAACAAAACGAACCCATAAAAAAAAATTAGAGCCTTTCGCTGACTCGTCGCCGATATCATTGCAGATCAGACAATAAATGATCTACTTTGATAAAACTGTGTCCTTATCGAAAAGAATCTTAAGACCGGTTGAGAATCAATATTAGAAACAGTTGAAGTGTTGACCTTGGCGATGTATCAACAATGATTTAACGAAAAGAATAGTACGTAGTACGATGTAATCATTCCAAGTGTTGTGTAGTGCAATCTTTTTGGTACACATGTGCTTGTCGAAGTTATTACGAATATTTGGTCTTCAGGGTGCGATGCAAGTGGAAGTCGAAAAAGAGTACATATGGTACCGTACTCGTACGAGTGCTACGAAGTACGTACTTTTTCGAAGGACAAAGTTTGGGAGAAGAAAAGTAATCTAATTACTACTACAACAACAACAACTAGTACACTACTAGTAGTATTAGCCACCACTACTACTAGCTAGTAGTAGAAAAGAAAAGCATCACATTGCCTTAACCTTACTTCAAGGAAGAAACAGCCTTTTATCATTATTTTATAATACTACTAGTAGTACTAGTAATAGTAACACTAGTAGTACTAAAATGCTCGTCCACCACATTCTTAAACAAAGAACTTGTTGTTCTTTTTCTTACCACCATTTTTTTGTGTTTTCACCCCCTTAGACTCCCCAGCAGCTCCTGAACAAGTGCTGCTACTACTACCAGAACTAGAAGTAGTGCCTACCACTAGTAGTAGAACTCCTGTTGCTGAAAAATTACAAATAGTAGTAGTAGTAGTAGTAGTAGTAGTAGTAGTAGTAGTAGTAGTAGTAGTAGTAGTAGTAGTAGTAGTAGTAGTAGTAGTAGTAGTAGTA